CTACACTTAGAGACAGACAACCAAGCACACTCACATTCACACCTACGGACAATTTAGAATCACCAATTAACCTCAACATGTTTCTGGACTGTGTGGGAGGAAGTTGGAGAACCTGGAGAGAACCCACACTGCACGGGGAGAACATGGAGACTCCACGCAGAAAGATCCTGGGTGTCCTCGCCGCTAATCGGCAACCTTCTCGCTGCGAGACAACGGTGCTAACCACCGAGACACCTTGCAGCCCCTGTTCAGTTCAGTTTGTTTTTTGTTTTTTAAACTTATTTTATAAAACTTGAAAAAAACTGGAATCAGCTTGTACAACTAAGTACCCACAGATGTTACATATAATGAAAAACATAGTGACTCTGCATACTATACATATTTAACTATTTATATAATTAACATGCTCATAACATACTATATTATTCTACGATAATACACTAATATACTTATTTTTAGTATTGGTTCAGCAATGGGCAATATTCAGACATGCAGATGACTGTTTTTATAGTTCTTGATGCATCACATAAGCTACCGTTACAACAATAAGCTGTTTCCATTGACTACACTTGTACATAATTTTTTTCTACCAGATTTTTTGTTTCATATTTTCACATTTCTTACAGTACTTTCAGAGTTTTATTAGCGGATTGCTGCTTCATTTTATTGTACACTGTGCAATGACAGTAAAGGAATTTTACTCTGTCCTGGTTTAGGATTATAATACTTATATTTGAAATTTGTTTCCATACTTATTTTCTATCTGCTCTCTGTAAGCAGCCTGCAGTTCAGCCAAAGAAGTCCCTGAATTTTTGACATTATTAAAGTGATTTTAATGAAATATCCTGATTTTGAGGGTAGATCTGGTGAAGTTTTCAGACTAAACACGAGTAGTTCAAGGAACAGAAAGTTAAAAAAATCCAATGATGTTCTCTGGTTTCACTGCTTCTGGCTATAATGAAGGACGTGTTTTTTGCAATTCTGGAAAGACAACATGCCTTTCGAATCTGCCAACAGGTCTGGGAGTTCAGAAGGTTAAAAAAAGAAGAAAGAACAGCATGATGGTGCGTTAACATTTCCCCCAGTAACACAAGAAGACGAGGAAAAATTCCTGTCAGACCTGCTGTGAAGGTCTGCGAGGCTCCAGGCGCTGGTTCCTCTGTAGTGTAGCGGGTCCTCTTGCAGGGAGCAGCTACCTCGGGCTTGTCGGCCTCGAGCGACGGGATGAGGAACTGTGCAGCTCCGGCGTCAAAGAAGGTGTTTCCTATGGCCTTGTCCTTCACCGCCCAGATCACTTCGCAGCCCTCCACCTCGTACCTGATCGATACATGTTCATTAACACTGAACGGATGAGCTGACAGTGTGAAAAACTGATCAATATGTGACGGCTGCGGGATCAAGTGCTCTTTTGCACTCAGGAAAAACACAGAAGCACTTTCTATTCACTGGAATTTCAGCATTTTTAGTGAGAGCAGACTTACACTAATTCCAAGGCAATCCCTCCATTTCCAACAACAACGATTCTCTTTGCTTTGGATAAGAGCTTCTGAAACTCCTGAAAACAAGACAGAAAACTGATCAGCATGTTGTGTAACCTCCAACCTAAAGGTCACTGTTTGGACTGCTGTAATTAACAGCCAATTTCAATCATTTACACACACACAGCCCACGTTTCCCTACGTGTAAATAATGCAAACGTGCGTCAAATGTTCAAACTGTTATTAAATAAATTCAGAAAATGTGCCTTCATTTTAAATAAAGTCAACAAGCTATTACAGCAGTTGCAGTCGCTGAATTTTGGATTAGTTTTGTGCACAAAGTCAGTGCTTTTTCAATGTATTAGCATCTTGCAGCGAGTATTTCTTTGGCACATTAAAAGAAAATAAGGGAATAAATAGAGACCAACACACAACTAAAGCGACAAGTGTTTTATCTCCGGACAAACTTGTGAGATCTCATTAGTTCAGCGTCTTCATGAATCTCAACACGGCTTGTACCTGAGCGCTGTCTGTGTCCCGTATCCCCAGCACATAGGGGTTGTCCTGGGTCAGGAGCTTGGGTCTGCCCCCGCTGCAGATGCACAGCTTCTCATATCCAAAAACCCGGCCGTCGGCAGTTTCCAGAGACTGAGGAAGAGAGCAGAATTCACAGGAAACGGTGATTCATTTTTATCAAGAAGCTTCAGCTGTTTTCTCTTTGGGAGAGTGATGCTTCTTCAGAAATTGGGGGCATTATTTTGAACATGAAGCTCACTTGTTAAGCCAGTTTTGTTCCTCTTTATGTCAGTTCTGTTCCACAGAACTTGGACTGTTCACTATAACATCCACAAGGTGGCGACAGTCGACAGGTAATATTCACTATAGAGCGTTTTGTGGAGATGTGTTGCAGTAAATCCCTGTTTGCACCATGATACACAGCATTTTGTTGCATATATATTCAATCTGCAGTCACAACTAAATACTAATTGCATTTCGTTTATCTTGCCTTCTTTTTTTCTCACATATATGATGATTCTGTTATCCTGCATTGTACACAGTTCACACAGGTGAACACATTCCTATTCCTGTGCAAAGCAGCTCCTCACATGTGTTTCTGTGTGAAGCGATTTGACAGCAGAATGGATGACGGTCAGGT